CCATCGCCTTTTTCTCTTCCCCCATACACACAAACACACACACATTACACACACAACACACGCTGCACACACACAACACACCTGCACACATATTTTCACATACAAACTCACACACACACACACACACACACACACACTTCAGGTCGGTGACAATGTCCCAAAGAAGACGACGGCCTCGGCCACGAGCCGCCACCTACGTCAATATCACTGGAATATCGACCACTGAGTGGTCCTCGACGACCGACCATTTTATTTGTAAGAATGACCGGCGGCACCAGTGTAGGAGATGACATATCGTCATCGAAGTGTTCGTCGTGTATGTGGTGGACGGTTGCGGTCTGAGTGGTGTGTATTGTTGTCCGTGAGGGGAGCAGTGGTGGCGCTGGGCCGGGAACCGCGTTGGTGACGGCGGCGGGCGGCGGGGGGTGGAGGAGAGTGTGGCGCTTCATTTGAAGGAGAGGACGGCGATAGACCAGTGGCTCAGGCGACGGCAGAAGCTAGATGGATGGCGGTGGGCTGCGGAAGGCTGGCGGCGGGCGGTAGGCGGTGGAGGGTGTTTGCAGGGGGAATCTGAGGGCAATTATTTTGTTGGTTCAAGTACTGTATTTTGTGAATTCAACATGACTTTGATGTAAATTTATTTTTTATATTTTGTATTTTAATGTGTATGACATCATTGTAATTATAATAATTTATTATGTGTACATTAAAGATATAAAAAACGCACAATTTTGTGTGTTAAAATGCACATTAATTTTCACGTTTTAATTTTATTAAACTATAAATTTTGCACAGCTTATCCGTTAGGTCGGTTTAGTTGTCTCGGTCATTTTAATTAATAACGTGGACATAGAATCGAAATATTCAAAATTTTAAAAGTAAAAAAAAAAACAGATAATTAAATTGAAATATAAAAACTCAAACAAAAAAAATTTAGTTCGGTTACTAGTGTGCAGTCTGATAAACATTAATGTGCAACTTGTCTATCACACTTGTGCACGTTCTCGATCGCTATTGTGCATTTTAATCTGATATATTTTTTTTTTATCTCGACACAGTTAAAACTAAATTGAATTATATGGTGTAGTCAAAACCTGAAATAATCAAATTAATTTATTATTTATATTGCTATTATATTTAGTATTATAATAATTTAAATTTAATAGTTCTATATTATTTTTTTAGTTGAAATAATATAATATATGAAATCCTGAAATTGATGTTGTGCATTCACACATACAATAATGTTTATTTATTCTAACATTATTGTGCATCATATTGTGTGTGTAATTTGTACTGCGGTATAATTTTATAAAAAATTAATAATGTGTATTTTCAGCTAATATGATTGTGCACTTATCAAATTATTTATATAATAATAAATAATTTAGTATGTATATTTTTTATTCTATATTATGTTTGTTGAAAATAATTAATATCTTTATATATAATTTGGTTGTTTATATTTTTTATTTTTTGGTTATATTCTAATGCGAATTTGACTATTGTGCATTTGATCTGACAATATCGTGCAGCTTGACTTACAGTAATGTGCACATGTTTATGGTAACACCATGAATTATAGTGCGATATTTTTTTTTATCCTTTTGTTAATCGAAATAACATAAATAATTGGAATATATTATTATTTATATCATAATAATATTTTAATACTTTTTTATATACATTTTATATTTTATATTATTTTTGGATAATAATAATAACATATATTATATGTCTTACAAAAAATATATACATAATAAAGTGTTTTATATAGTGTTTTATATATTTTATGTAAATTGCAAATTTAACCGGTAGCTAAATTAAAATATATTTGAACTTCTTTGAATTTATAGATTGACCCTATAAGTTTAACTGAAATTAACTAAAACTATTAAAATTGCATATCAATCCTTGAATGTTACCAAATTCTCAAACCCAAGTCCTCTACCCCAAATCTTTGGCTTGTCCGCCACCGGAAGCCGGAGGAGCTACACCTCTCTCCGACGGCACCATCGATACCGTTGCCGGCCGCAGTGCAGACACACGCCTAAAACCTCCGCACGCGAGAGAACGAGGACAGCCTGAAACCTCCGCATACGGCGCCGCCGCCGCCATAGTCCTGATGCCGCCTTAGTCTAGTACGTTTCGCCCTCTCAAACAACGTTGGTTCGGATGCTCGGAGAACGAGATGGTGGCCGTCGTGTGGGTGCAATCGGAGACGAGCGCCGGGGAGACCATTACCGAAAAATACAAGTTCATCATCTAAGGTGGGAGTGAAAGGCATCGGAGGCCTGCCGGAGGAGAGACGACGGCGGGAGGTGCATCAAGAGAAGGATAGACGACGACGGCGGATGCTAGCCGGAGAAGGAGAGGGGACCACGGAGGATGCAATTGGCAGCGGCGCCGAAGGCTGGCTGTGGTGACTGTCACCGGCCCTTGTGTGTGCAGCGTGAGTTTTGTGTGTGTGTGTGTGTGTGTGTGTGTG